CTCTAAAAATAGCGCGTTGGGAGCGCCGGAAGTCGGCAAGGTCACAGTCGACGGCAGAAATTCGAAAAATCAAAATTTAAATTTTTGAAATCTGATTGTATTTTTGGATTTGGGAGGTCCATTTGCTCCCTATAGAAGCTAATATTGCTGCATATTCCCATTGAGGTGACAAGAATTAGCTAAATAGTGGTTCGGGCGCTTTTCAAAAATAGTACCGGACGCTGTTCCTCTTGTGACGTCATAGCTCCATGACCTGACCTGACCCGGTCAAATTTCTTATACCATATGATAGCCAATACTTGCCCCAACATGCATGGGAAGTTTCATCACGATCCATCAACCGATGTCCGTACCACCGGCAGGAAACCTCGGGCGTTGGCACTCAGTTTGTGAAAATCCGGCCGGAGGCTGTACCTCTTATGACGTCATAACTCCGTGACCTGACATGACCCGATCAATTTTTTTTCGGCAAAAGATGCGCAAAGGTTGCCCCAGAGGGCATTGAAAATTCCAGCCCGCTACGACAAGCCGTTTAGCGTGCACTTCGAAAAACCTCAGGGGGGGGGGGTTGATACAACCCCCCCCCCCTAGGCGTTCTAGGGTTAAACTGTAAGCCCGTATTGGTATTGTTTCTTTTATTTGGCTGTTGAACATTATTTATGGTTTGAAATATGATTTTATGTAAAATAATTGATATGAAAAAGCCGTCTTATAAGTTATGACCCCATTTCACCACACGCAAGTGGCAGAAATGACAATGATCAGCTGACGCATTTTTCTTGGCCGAAGTCAGAGCGCGCGGCCCGATGCACCACGCGTATTTGGAAATTCCGACCTCGACGAGCATCAGAAGCCACCTAACAGGCGTGTTCGAAACCGCAGGAGATGATGATGAACGGGTTTATCGAAACTTGATTGGATGAGCATATCGGTAATAGCGATTTCAGTGTGTGCATTTATTGTTCATAGTGGTGTGAAATGTGGTTGGGGTACGACCGACAACCCGTCGGGGCGAATTTCGCACTGGGGTACTCAAAATTTGAAGAATTTAAGACGTTTCCATGAGTTTTGAAGGTATGGATAAGTTCTAAAAATCCGGTTCTCCTTATCTGGGCCATTAACTCCATACGGTCCAAGAAAGCTGGCACACTACCTTTAATGAATATTGTCCTGGGCCCTGGCCCCTGTCACACCGCCCGACGCTGCGCGCGCTGGGAGCTAAGGCATACCCCTGACGTCACTCGAATGACGTTGCGAGCGATCTGTTAGCTTATGATGAATCGCGTTTGGAACAGAGGTCCTAAGGAACCAAGTACAAAGGGAACAGAGGTTTGAGTGCGAATGCTGCTAGCGTGCTGGCGGAGCGGCGCGCTAGCGTTTTGCGATGACGTCATAGCTTAGCGTCAGAGTGAAGTTTGTTGATATTGCCATGGAAACCCAACGCGCCGACGCGCGCAGCGCACTCAGCGATCTGCTGTGAAACACCACCCTGGAGTCAAGGTCACTGGAGTAATTGGGAGACATTTTCACTGAAGTTCCTCTACGTCATTAACGCCTTTGGTTTCACACTCGAACGCCGTCAACAGCCACAGTATTTATAATAGGGCAAAGTTTCCCGAGTATTTCATGATAGTAACTACAGAATGCAGATGGACCAGAGACATGCGATCAGCAGCTCATGACTATGACATTCGGTTGAAATAAATCAACCACCAATGAAGTCATAGCCTACGATTAGGCAGCCCAATTCAAAGAAGATATGGAGCCGTAGATTTGTGGACGGCTCCGGCTCCGGTTGAGTACCTAGGCTCTTATTGAGCTTCGGACGCCACAAGCCATTTGCTACTTCTTCCCCACTTTCTTACCCCCCCCCTTCCTCCCTGATTCCGCCACTGGCGGTTTCTGTCGCCTGCCGGCGCAGATGGAATGGGTGCGCTCGGACGGCTCAGTCGACTGTTGTTGTAAAGCGCAATTTGTTAAAATATGTGCAATTCTAACGCCGAATTAATTCGAAAAAGTGTCGAATGCCAAATCGTCTCCTGACTACAATGTTTGATGGATTGGCAATATCGTTGGTACCGAAGCATTATGAAACATTTATCTCGCTTTATTGAAGAGAGCAGGTTAAACTGAGCACGTTTATTGTCTTTAATTGCGTACAACTCTCGGTTCGATATAAGCGCACTCTGTCTATTGAAAGCGCACCTCTAGGTCACGTGACTGGGGTGTGTCACGTGATTGCGCTTAAAACCGAAATCGGCGTCACAGGAGGGACAGGGATGTGGGATGTCCGTCTCCGGTCCCTCTCAGAGGGGAAGGAGGTTGGAGGGGCTGTATGCCTACGACTGGCTACAGAATTCTGTTCATGTAACAAAAAACAAACAAATAGTCGATATGGTAGGAAAAGCCGCTTAATCACACAATTAAGCGTGTCTGTGACAAGCGTTATGGCCAAGGGACAGGCCGTGTCACATAGCCGCCTGTGTAAGAAGTGCAGCAGTCAACTGATCTTCAACGGGTGGCCAATAAGGAAATCATTCTGTATCTGTAGTCATCTAAACTTAGCTACATGGGGCCCACGATACCGTCTGGCTCAGTCTCCGTGATACCGTGATCCGTGATGCCGTCTGTCCTGCTCTCCGTGATACCTACAGTCTGTCTCAGTCTCCGTGATCCATGGACCATGATACTGTCTGTCCTAGTCTCCGTGACACAGTGATCCGTGTTTCCAACCGTGCCAGTGGAGTGGCGGCTCCGCTTTGCCGCGGCTGGCTGCAGCTCAGAGGCTGGGGCCCGGGGGAGGTGGCAGTGAAGCTGTGACATTGTCAGTGTGGGCTGGCTCCATGGCGCCGTCTGCCCCCCCCCCCCCTCCCCCTGGGGGACTCTGGTCAGTGGGGAGGGGAGGGGTGGCTGGCTCCGGTCACTGGTCATTGATCAGTTGGGTGGGTCGTGGGTCGGTCTGAGCTGGTCTGCGCCGCCACAGCTCCGCCGGTCAATGACATGTCAGTCCACTGCCCGCTGTGACAGTGGACAGTAGACAGACGGTAAATGGCATGTCCACTGTGATAAGGAACAGTGGACAGTGATCAGTGGACAATAGACACAACCACTGTCACAGTGGACAGTTGACAGTGGACAGCCGGTAAATGGCATGTCCACTGTGATAGGGAACAGTGGACGGTGGACAGTGGACACTGGACAGTGGACAGCCGGTAGATGACATGTGCACTGTGATAGGGAACAGTGGACAATGGACAATGGACAATGGACAGTCCACTGTCACAGTGGACAGACGGTAAATGGCATGGTCACCGTGGGAGACAACAGTCGGCATCCGGACAATGACATGTCCGCTGTGACAAAAAACAGTGGACATTGGACAGTGCACAGTGGACAATGGACAGCCGGGCAATGACATTTCCACTGTGACATTGGACAGTCGGACAATGGACATGTCTACTGTGACTGACAGTGAACAGCATGGACAGTGGCACCGTTCGATCCAGGTCACTGCGGTTGTCTGGTCAGTTGACGGCTAACGAGGGTGGGCAATTAGGCGCTGAAAATTGGTCAATTAGCTAAATACACAGGGTTGGTCGGCTGCTGGGGATTGGGAAATGGTCAGCTAGTCTCCAGGCGTTTATCAGCTAGCCACTGAAACTTATCTGTTTGGTATAAATCGGGAGGGGGCTGGTCAAAACAGCTGCTTGAAAGCGTTCTGCAACACTATGGGCTTCACAATTCCACTTGAGCATCATTTTTTCTTCTTCTAGGGCTAATACGAATGCCATTTTTGCTCAAATATTCGTCTTATTTTTTTTAGCTTTTATTTGCTTGCCTGCCAGGTTGTTATTGCCATACGCGTGGCTAAATATGAGGGATAGTGTCCAGCTAGAGACGAGTCTTTACTTTATTTTTACGCCCATTGACGGAAAAGTAATATGATAAAAAGATACGCTGGGATACGGGTCGTACATTTCATTATCTGCCACATAGCTAAAAAATAAATAAAATGAAATGCGCTGGGATATGGGTCATTGAATTCATTAGATGATGACCCTCGTCTCCTCTCTCTCTCTCTCTCTCTCTCTCTCTCTCTCTCTCTCTCTCTCTCTCTCTCTCTCTCTCTCTCTCTCTCTCTCTCTCTCTCTCTCTCTCTCTCTCTCTCTCTCTCTCTCTCTCTCTCTCTCTCTCCCTCCTCTCTCTCTCCTTCTCTCTCTCACTCTCTCTCACTCCCCCTCTCTCCCTCACCCCCTCTCCCTCTCTGAACCCTCCGCGGGGAGAGGGGGCTGACAGAAAATGACTGATGTTACCCTCTGCACACGGACAGTGGCCACAGTAAACAGCCTCTCCGAGGGCGGTGTTTACTGGTCTGCCGAAAAATCGAAGCGCCACGATCGTTCGGCGGCGGCGGCTGGAATCTATATTGCCTGCTTGAAGGCTCGGCGCAGTTCGAGAAATGGCGTTAGAATTCCAGCGACGGAGTAGTATTAAAATGCATGTAGTTGCACTGTGACATCTGATGCTGATAAAGTGTATGAGTTGCTGAGTTACATATCCGTGCAAATGCGTGGTATTTGTCAGTTGCCACAATACATATTGCCAACATACTCGTTTGCCTAAGTACTTATTGACCGATTTGAAAAGAAATGCGTAGTCTATGTTAGGAAAAAAACTTTTCATAGCGTTATTTGAAGGCGCTGGCCTGATTTCAAATGGCCATTCCAGGATTTATTATTATCAACATTGCCATTTGTTTTGTTTTGAGCGGCATATTGGGTCTGAAATTATTTATTTAACAACGGCATGGCCTCGTGATCTGCCATGGCGATTGCTGGGGATTTGTGATTAGACCTCACTGGTGCGCCGCAAATACCCATCATCATGGTCACGAAGCTATATGATGTCAGAAAAGACTGCTCTAAGGCCAGATGGCCTGACATGACCCAGCTGGCCCTGACACCGGAAAATTGACAGATAATGCTTCAGAGAATACTAGGAAGTGCATCGGATTAAGACGTGGAATCCAGTAAGAAAAAAACTGCATCACACTCCAGACCTACACCAGCGTGATTTGACATTGCTTTGGATTGGGGCTTGGATTCGGATTGGCTGGGCGACAGATCTGACAGAATAGTCAAAGTGAAAGACAAACCCAAAAAATTTTGGTTGAGTTGTCGTGCATATGACTTCAGTTCTCCGGTCTGAAGCCAAAATGTGCAATACACCGGCACAATTCACTAACTACAGGCAGAGGCAGGTATAAATCAACTACTTTGCGCAAGGTCCAAAGCTGCAAAAATTGCATCACCACTTTCAAATTTGACACATAACATGACGATTACACCAGGCTGATACCTACCACTCTACCAGCATCTACACACGGCCTCTCCTTTCTTCACATGTCAAAGCCTCCCCGTCCTCCCCAGCTAGCAGCCTGGCGGCGCCCGTGACGCTGACATGACCTTGACCGCTGGCCCCGCAGGCGTCGCGGCCCGTATCGGCCGGCAGCTGTGGCTCCCATGCGCGGCGTGCAGGCGGCGGTGGCGCTGCGTCGACAGCGCAGCCGCCGGGAGGAGCGCCAGAGACGCCTCACCAACTCGTCCCTGGACTCGGCCACCCCACGCACCTCACTCAGCGAAACCCACTTCGAGACGCCGGCGCCCTCCGAGCCCAGCAAATCACGGAGCATCCTCTTTGGTATCACACTCTTCCACATCGGCCTGGTGCTGCTGTTCATCGGCTTCCTGCTGGTCATCACGGCCATGATTCCTCGCTACAGCTCCGGCGCCAAGGCCTACGACCTGGCGGGCACCGGAACGTTTTTCGTCGTCCTGGGTGGCGTGATGACTCTGCTGAACCGGGTCATCTCTCGCCGCGAGGACGACTCGCTGGAGAAGTACGTCTCCGGTCGCCTGGCGCGCTCAAAGAGCGGCGGCCGGCTGGTGCGTGACTCCGACTCGGGTCTGACTCCTGACGTACACCGGAGAGGTCACCGGAGGGCGTCACGCACTCCGCGGAGTCCCCGGAGCCCGGCCGGGGGAGCCAGCACTCCCGCCAGTCTGGACGCCGAACAGGCGCTCACGGAGATCCCGGAGGAGACTCCGGCGGCGGCGGCCGGTCTCGAGTCACCCGCGGGCCAGGTGACTCTCACTATCTGTAAGGACATGTCGGGGGACTCGCAGGTGGCTCTTCTGAGCGCCGCCGAGCCGCGGGACATGCGTGTGGTGCTGACCCCTCCGGCCAGTGACCGGCAGAACGGGCCGGCGACCAGCGTGTAGCCAGAGGAGATACAGGGTGGAGCTGGATGGGAACCATGATGGAACCAGAGGGGAACCATGGTGGAACCAGAAGGGAACCATGGTGGAACCAGACTGGGGAACCAGAGGGGAACCAGAGGAGAACTAGAAAGGAGCCGGTGGAACCAGACTGGGAAACCAGAGAGGAACCAGAGGCGAACCAGAGGGAAACCAGGGTGGAACCAGAGTGGAACCGATGGAGCCGCGCAGAGTAGTGCGGAACAATTTTGTGTTTGCTGTGTGCGACGCTCGTTCAACAGTTTTGCGAAACTGCTGAAGATGGGCGTCATTGGTGCTGGGAAAGCAGCGTTGACAGTGTTATAAACGTCGTGATGCTTGAGTTGGTGTGGTAAGTTAATGTCAGGTCAAGTTTTGGGATGCGTGCAATCATTCGTCATCAACAGGCTGATTAGGCACATCACCAGGGCGCAAGGACGAGACGTATCAAGCCTTGAATAGAAGACAGGTACCTTGTGCCAAAGGTCGGAGCATAATTATAAAAGCAGTGGATTCATTGATGTCTTTCTCTCCTTTAATTGAGCTTTCTTTCATGTTTGTCCGAAATTGTTATTTGTGCTTAGACAATTTCATTGGTCATTTATTTAAAAAAAAAAAACAGATAAAATCATTATTTACAGGCTTAATTAGTATGCGCCGTAATGAGCTGCACGGAATAAAAATTAGAACACGATGGCAAGCTCTCACGAGCTGTTTAGTGGCAATTGCAATAGTGTTCGTAAAGCGAGCAATCTGTCACATTCTTTTGTCACGGTTGTAAGAGCGGATTTTTTACGGAATGTAAGGGTGAAGAACGTTTGGATAAAGCTTTTGTAAATTTGTTGTGCGAATAGCTAGTACGAGTCCTATGCCCTTACTTTGTCAAATAGGATTTGGTGGTTCAGTGTGAAATCTACAGTTGACCTAAAAGATCTGAGATTGTACTGTGATTTCATCGCCCTTTGATACGACAGAGTGGCACAAATGCCTACTTTTTGTATTACGATTCACGATACTGTTAATGTGTGTAAACAGCTTGAAATTTCACTATTGGAGTTACGCATCTGATGAAATTTATTCGTGGGTAATGTATTTTTAACCCGCGAGTTGCTGGGGGGGGGCGTTAAACGCCCCCACTTTTTTCGCCGGGCCATAGCATAAAAACGGCGCGCCGCAGGCGCGCCAAATTTTGGGTACCTGTAGGGAATTGATTTAAGTTTATTGTTACAAAGTTTCAAAAAAATCGGTCGGAAAATTTTTGAGATATCGAGGTTCAAGTGACGTCATGATTTCTGAGTTTTCGACCAAAAACGGCATATGTTCAAAAAATCATATAAAATCACAGAATAGACATACAGACATGCCGTAAACGCCATTAGACTGCCAATACTATGAACAATCAAATGGCTATCTTCGATTATTGATTATCGTTCCGCATTTTCCAAAATCTTGAACTGAATCTTGGCAATTTCTCTTGACTACTTCACGACCATGATACATGAATTTCTTAAATTGAACTTTTTGAGCCAAACACGTACACATATGATAAAATGAATGTCACCATCGTGTTCTACGCCCCAAATTACCCATAAAACATGTGTCACAGGCTGCGAATATCAGTTTTGATTTTTGGGGATATGTGCCTACCCGGTTGACCTGACCTTGACCCTGACCTATGCTTGACTAACCCCTACATGGAGCTGACACTCTTGTAGGCCTTATATGATGGATTGTGCACCGTTTTGACAGAGTTTATGATGAGAGGCGCCCATTGCGAAGTCCTGAAGTCAATGCTACTGAAAGCCCGATTTCAGGTGTTTGACCTGACCTTGACCCGACCTGTGACCTGAAAATTCAACTTTAAAGTACTCATCTGAAGCGTCTCGTCGCGTTCTTTCGTTTGCCGCCTCGTGCGTTTCGCTGCGCCTATTGGTTCTCGAGTTATCGGCTGGGGGCGTTTAACGCCCCCCCCCCAGCAAACGGTGGGTGGCGAAATACCCCAGCAACTGCCGGGTTAATTATTGACAGTTTCGAATGTAAAATGGCATTGATGCATTTTATAAATAGTCTGCATGACCGATACAATTTTAATGTCAAGCTGCAAAAGTCATTTACTGATGGCCAAGCACATCATAGTGATCTTATTGCCATGCGTCGAAAGGCAGAGCTCGAACAGAAACCACATTACTATTATAAGTATTTGGATTTTCCTCTTGTCTACAATGGTATAAATGCCAAGCTGATAAAAGTCAATGATTTACCGATTACCGATATCATTCTATCAACCAACCTTTCTCAGTGGTTGAAGATGCATGCATATCACGCTATGCTTTGTTTTTACGTACACCACTATCAATATTTTTGACATCTTATTGGGGTGCTTACCTTCATCAGTCTTGCAGTGAAACATGATAATATCATAATAAAATTACTTTGCATCGTAATGCGTATACCTGTAGGAGAGCGGTGAGTTAGGTCACCGAATGTTTCCACCATTGCCCCCCTCACAGCCTACACCCGTTTCCTGGTGTATCCTGAGCCATTGACGCCTTGTTCCGCTACCATCCCTCCTATAACACTCCCCCTTGCGTCTGTGTGTGTGTGTAGGGGGGAGGATGGGGGCAGTATGTGCGCGTGCATAAACGCATGCGAGTCCAAATGTGACGCCGCTACGTGGTCTTGATGTTAAGTGTGATGTAACAATGTATGGGACTCTCGTATTTCGTCTGCTATCGCTCAAAATATAACACTCTGTCGCACTGTGACGGCTATGCGTTCAAACCGATATACATATACTCCATACCGCGCCAAAGTTTGCCGAAATGAACGGACTGTCAGAAATGTACTTGTCAAGGACTTGAGGTCTGTTGGAAATGTACTTGTCAAGGACTTGAGCTGAGGCTGGTGACCTGATATGTGTTAGCTTTAGTTGACCTGTAACTGTCGGGCAGACTGTAACTCAAGCTGGCCGCTCTGGTTACATTTACACGCTGCTGTTGGTGAAACAATCCGATACTATTGGATGACCATGATGCTATGATCTGGATGGACCCTTGCGCCAGAGTGGGTGCAGTGAGCAGTCGTGGAATATGTGTTACTCTGCTGGCTGTTGTACAGCTTGTGCGTTTTGTTTGTGTTTAGAATTTGATCAAAATATGTGTTGTTTTGTTATGGTCATCTAATAATTGAATGACATCGTAAATTATTTCATATAGATGTCATGAATGTTGGCTTGGTGCTCAAAGTCAGAAGTTTTTCTTTTGACCCTTACTCAAAGCATAAATAGTTCATTACATTAATATGGCTCAAGGCTGAGTTGATTGTTGCTGTTTTATTGGCTCACCATTTCGGAAATATACTTTGTTGACGTACTCCGAGTATTTAGCCATCGATAAAGGTGGGAAATACAGAGGAACGATAAAATTAGTCGTCGAATTAAGCGTGTCTTCCATATATGCTGTATTATTTGTCATAAGTTATATCCTTGCAGGCATGAAACGTATGAAATAGTCTTAACCCTCGCCGGACCTATTGGTTTTCTACATACGCGCCGGCCGAGGGGAGGGGGCGGGTACGACCCCCCCTCGCCGTTTCGCCCCTGGTGGAGCTAGCGCGTCGCGAAAAAAGCGAGCGTGTGCGCCGTTACGAGACGCAGAGATTGGTACCCGATTTTAAGGTCCTAGGTCAACCGGTGACCTCTGAGGTCAGGTCAAGTGCCCCAGGGTACGGTTCAGTTTTTGGTGAATAACTTCGCAAAAAACGGCCGCAGAGCTGCAATTTTGGTAGTATGTATCGTGTTCGCCTCGATCAGGCGCGTCGAGTGATATACTTTTTGTTCGGGTCAGGTTAACTTAGGGTGTTGACCTCAGGTCAAGGTCAGGTCAGCACCCCCAGGTCACGAAGTTGGTCGAAAGAGGTCATGTCGCATATCATTCGATTCGGCAGGTCTTTCTGAGTCCATTGGTGGCTTTCTCGACTCGCTAGCTCAATTTGATCGGGAGTTATTGACGAAAAACTGATATGACCTTGATGACGTCATAAATGACGTCATGGAAGGTCAACATTGCAAAAGTGACGCATCTAACCTTGCAAGAAGTGCATCAAATCACGATTCTGTGTGCTTGAGATAGTTGGAGATCGTTCCCGGCGCCAGAATAGCAGTTTTCATTTTTCCCCATTGACTTATAATGGTGAGGTCACGAAAATGACCTGACCTCATATGACCTTTAGGAAAAATCCGAGATATACAAGTTGTGAGACTCATAATGGATACTAGATCCTGCAAGTTTCATTTCCCTGTGACATCTCCTCTGGCAGTGAGAGCGTTGCGAAGTTGCGACATCTGAAGACCGTGCAGAGGTTCACTTATGACGTCATAGGTCAGTGACCTGACCTGACCCAAAAATGCGGTTGGTGTCTAAAGATGCAGCTTGGATCAAAGGTCAGGTATGCTAAGTTTCAGCTCTCTATCGCCAGCGTGTTCGGAGCTATCGCGAAAAAAACCCTATGGGGGGGGGGGGCGGCACCCGCTCCCCCCCCCCTCGGCCGGCGAGGGTTAAAATATATTTTCATATAAGTACCGTAGTTTATAAGATGAAATAGTGAAAGCGCACGCATCGGTAAACATTCGTAGCTAGTTACGATAGCGTTCCGCGTAGGACACACAAATTTCCCTCTGCAACACTTCCACTTGATTGGACCTATCTGAACTAGAACGCAAGTTATACTCATTCGCATACGAACCCCAATCCAGCTTCTCGAGTGTTTGTTGAAGCATTGCTTGAACCTAAAGCGGGCCAAGTTATTTGCACCCATTTGCTGAAGGTCAACACCATTAAGCCCAGAAGCTTATGAACAATTACCTTGTTATTGCCTAGTATATGATATTGAATGAACGCATTTGCGCACAGATAAGTCGATATACTGGAATAATGAAAAGGGAATTGATAGAAGTTGGGGTCGGGAAATGGGATAGGACGTAGAGTAGAGTCCAGCTCCTCCGGCAATGCCTGGTTAGCTTGTGAGTCATTATAAGACGCAAAATAGGATGTCAATAAAAAGTTCCATTTCGTAAGAAGGTTTCATTTGAGATCGGCTAGTATCCTGAGCCACAGGTCTATTCATCTCTGCTTTTATTTTGAAATCCAAAAAAGGCGGGCGGAAAAAGGAAACAAATGTTCGTTACTGAGGGCTCACGCTGGCATAAAGGATCAACGACGGACGTTGAGGCAAACTCAAAGACCACAATGGCTCTTTGTGGTCTCATGTCATTAGGAGGCATTTGTGAGTTGAGACTTGAGACCAGCATTTGAGGCATTTGAGGCCAGCACTGAGGCCAAAACATTTGCCTCAGTGCATTTGAGGGCTCCTGGGTAGTCCCAAGGGGCTCCTGCTCAGTTTAATTTCTTCCCTGGACGCAATGTCGATTTAGGATTTGGGATAACCATTTTATTCATATATTGCAATTTTGACGGCCTGAACTGACAAAGCATTCAGTTTTGAAGAGGAACAATGACATAGATGAAAATTTAGTTAATTCAACAACAAAAAATCGATTATAGGTCCGCCAGCTTTCCGTGTTGAAACTGCGCATTACCATTGACCTCTCCCCCCTCCCAACCCCCCAACTCCATGTCAATTTTCACCACATGTTCCGCTTGGGACGCGGCCCAAAAACGTCGCTGTCACCACCCTATTCACACGGAGGTGTCTATCGGGCTTAGTCTTACTGACATGGCGATAGGCTTATGTCTGCGATCGTTTGTGACTATCATATGTAGGAAGCCGTCGACGTCCCTTCGTGACGTTTGTAGCACGGGTTCGTGTCTGGGTTTAGCCTTATGTAACACAGCATACGTGGAAGACAGCACGTAGAGTGAGTAGGGCGTGGTATCATCACTTGCATTGTTGAAGCAGATCATCCGGGGCCAGTAGCAGTTATAAATTACTTCGTCGAGACAGGCTACTTCTCCAAGGTAAAGTACAGTATAGCTCCGTAGACAGTCATTCACCCGGCATACAAATACATCTGATGGAAGATGCTTTTAAGTTGGAGGCTTGATTATTCGACCCATAGTATAGATTGGTTCACGAGTGTCACTTCACTGCTCGGATTAAAGTCCGATCAGCTGGGGTTGCGGCACAGTCGGAAGGTGATAGGACAGGGTATTCGGAGTCCCAACGACCACTGCCAAACATATGGGTGGTAATTAAATTAATCAATTGAATGTGGTCATTCGTCCAGTCACCGATTCCTATATTACTGGCCTCCCATTAACTAAAATGCCCACTTAAATCGTATTAGCGTTGCTATGTTTGATACCCTCGAGATTAATTAGCTCGACTGCCATAACTGAGCTGTGCTCCGCTCCTATCGGCCTTAACCTATACAGTCGCTCCTCACACATACACACACACATCTACTCTGACCACATGCATTCATCACTCAGCCCCCGAATTTATTTGAGCACCCCTAAAAATCCCTCCGATAGTGTCAGGTGTCTGACTAATAACGATCTCCCCGGCGAGATAAATGTCTCTTATCCGAAATCCATGTGCATGCTACGCTAACCGGCGACAAGGATATTTATCGCAGGGCCGCCCAGAGTAAAGGTACAAATATCCACCCTATAAATTTGCGGGGTTCACTACACGTCCGATAGACTTTGGTACACACATGCGCGATTTACATCCGACTTATCTCTCTATCCGGGAGAGATTACCTATGCCCTCTTCCGGTCCGCGTGTAACACCTCCGTTCACGACCCAGGGACCCTAGTTCATATCCTGGAACTCTCCTTAAACCGTGGGATTTACTTTCAAGGCCTTACGTGTCCTGGAGTACATTATTCCCTCCCCTGAGGCTGTCCAGTACCGATTAGGGCACCTTTACAAAATAAGTATGAGGACTTATTCGGGACACTACGGCTTGCCTTGTTCGCCCTTTGGGTGACTTACCCCTGACCTTCGGCTTCTTGCCTTTGGCATAACTCCAACTTACTCTCCAACTGCACTGCGCCAATCTTCCCCTTCCCCCTGCCATAGAAACCTCTCACTGCCTCGTTACCCAGTGTTACCTAAGCGGGAAATCTAACAGTAGCCGGATACTACTGGCGGAAAACGTGCATATGCCCTGCATACGCGACGGTGTGTCCCTAATATCATTCCGCTCTGGACGTGATTCTATCGAAGTGCACCTCGTCTCACACAATCATGCTAGTAAACATTACACCATGGGAGGCGGCGAAGCAAGCCGTCTATGCCTCAACATGCCCGGTATCGATATTCGGTGGCGTAGTAATTGGCTTGAACTCGTAATCGCATCACTCTCGACTCCGCTAGTTAGCGGTTCGTAATTCTGAGACCACTGTACCTCGTGTCCCATCTGTACATCCCACCTCGAACCTTAATTATGCAAGACTGCTCCCACCTAACCCTTGCGCGCTGATTCGTCGTTTGGCCGCGACCCGCTGCCCTACTAACAGCTGCCCGACCTGCCATCTGGTGGCTAGCGGCCTGGACCGTGGGCCGTCGATCAGTCGTCGGCCGGACCGCCGTGTTATGACTTCCGCTCGGCACTGACCGGCGAGGCGTCGCCGTCCATGAACCCAACGATACGACGGCTAATGAGGTGGCATTACTAAATTCTACTACGCGCTGAACGGTTGCGGGTTGTCCTGACAAGCTATCAAGTGTATTGGATTAGAGTTAGCCTGTTGGCGTTGCATAATGTTGCCTTAGAATTGCGGACCCGAATTAGTACCCGGGAATTCGGTCGACAGCTCCCGTCAGCCCCTTAGCTCTCCGTATAAGGGAATAACCGGCGAAAGGGGTAGCCCCGTTGTTCCCAGAGTCGAGCAGCACCCCTCCATTAGAGGTGCAAATCGTCGGCGGCCGTTCTGTTAGATTAAGCACCATTCTGCGCGGGGCTACGATTCTTTCCTGACGGTTAACTCAATTTGGTCACGCGTGTAGGTCCGATCAGTACCCTAGAAACCTATGTAACCTGCCGTCCTCACCCAGTTATCCACACCCGGGGTATGGCTCCGACGGTGTTGCATCTCAAGTCATTAGGCTCCGCGAATCACCGCGCGGCGCCCCAGGCGGTATTTAAAGGCTCCGGCACGCCCGCGGCATATTGTCATCATGTCTACCACGTCTGTGGAGGTTGTTTCGGAGGCAAGTCGGCCCGAGAGCCCGCCGGGGTCCGCGGCCGAGGTGCCCCGGGAATTGTACAACGAGATCGTCCGCTTAAAGGACGACCTCCACGCGGCTGAGGTAAGAATTTCCTTTGCTCTACCCTGAGCAATTTGTATTGCTGTGCTTATCGGACCGCTCGTTGTGATTACCTGATTCTTGAAAATAACTACACTGATGGGATGGTCAACTTATTTGATGAACGAGCATCCGTCCTTAATTGTTATCACATGGGGTGGCGAGATCAATTTAAATTTGATTTGGTTTAATTTTAAAGGTGATAGATTTAACTTTTACTTATAAAAGCTAAATTTGGTGTCTATGCTAGCCTGTTATTAACGGTGGTGGTGGTTCCTTGCAGGGAAAGTTGGAGGTCGCCCGCCGGGACCTGGAGCGGGCCCACCGAAAGAACAAAGCCGTAGTCGCGAGGCTGCGGAAAATAATCTATGCCACCCAGACCGCACCGAGCTACGCCCGGCCGGGGTGGCTCGACCAAGAAATAGAGTGGGCCTTATTGGAGCTCTCTTGAGCCCTCAGGTAAGAATCTTTGTACGTCGGCTGTTCCCACTTGTTACTAGTACTACCCATGGTAATCTGACTATGATAACTTGAGCATCGTTAAAGTAATGTGAATTTTTATGACTACTTTATGCTTATCTTAATAGTTATATCCAGAAGGAAGACGTCCCTGAACAAAGCTAGACCTGTGCCTTGACATCAGCATAGAAGTACAGTTTGACTAACCGCGAAAGAACTGAGACGGTTCACCGAGTATATAGGGGCCGTCACAACAAATTTCAAATAAGCTCCCAGTACTAGGTCAGTTATCTTAATTTTAGCGAGTTTCACTCCCCACGAGGTCCTTGGTTCATAAGAGGAGAACACGGGGTTGAGATATCCGATCAACCTCTAACGACGATCTTTTCTTGTTCCAGATGCAACGACGCAGGACACCTCCGAATTCATCTCGCCGTCGCGATGAATGGTGGTTTTGTAGTGTGTGAACAAATTCTGGCTCGCTGTCTGTAAATACATGTGCCATTTTGTACCAATTTGTCTGTCAATTACGCTATCACCAATGTAAAGGGTTTCTTTCAACGGAGACACGATCCGGCGGGTTCCGAATTCTGCAGAAGGCATGGCGATCAGACGACTGAGGGAGAGAACTAGTGACGTGTGTCCTATGTTGAGATCGGATGGAATTGTAGTAAACGCCGGAAAGTGCCATTACAACGCCTCACGCAGATCATCACTACGCTTTCATCCCCGTGTCTGTGTACGCGCCTCCCATTCACGTTCCCTCCATATCATATCCTAACAGGAGTAATAAGTTTTCGCTGTGTATTCTACATCAAGCTCGCATGGCATTATCAGTGTTAGTCGCAAACTAAAGCACCACAATCACGAACATCGACCCACAAGCTTGGTGAGACGCATCGTATACTTAACCTAGGAGCCAAAGAATCTATATACAATGCAGAGTACTGTTGTCATTGAGCAACAGACGTACATGTCACTCCAATCTGCCGCGTCGGTTCTCGTGTGACCACTAAGCTGACAAGTTGACCTTAAGTACGGAAACATGACGCAACGAGCCATGAACCTTCCACTACATCGCTGCCCTTACTCGCTAGGATGTTACGCGCAACTATTGACCTATAATACGGAAAACACACGCAACGAACCGTGAAATTTACACTACATCGCTGCCCTTACTCGCTAGGATGTTACGCGCACTATTGACCTATAATACGGAAAACACAACGCAACGAACCGTGAAATTTACACTACATCGCTGCCCTTACTTGTTAGGATGTTACGCGCAACTATTGACCTATAATACCTAGTGTTAATCATGAACATACGCACCCTACGGAGAAGCGCCATTCATTGTGTATCGGCCTATATCGCTCGCTGAAACATGCCCAAATTAGTTCGACTCATGACACCGCCAGTGAAAAAAAATTGGTCGCACCGATACAGGACCATTACGTCGCCAAACTGCCTCGAATCATTTAGTCAGAGTTCACTTTGCTGGCCGCGCAGTTTCAAATCTAAACCTGGCGCACCGGACCTATTCGCAATCGTATACCGTACACAAACCGAGAGCGTATTTGCTGGCGCATGATCAACCTCTCATTATCAAACTGGACGTGTTCGCAATCATATACCACTGAGAGCGTAATTGCTGGCAGCGCTAACATGATATCGAAGTTCAGATCCTAATAGGCCACTAGGGTGTTTGGACGAATATGTTCGAAATAATTCAAGTTGTCTCTTTCTAATTGAGAGTGCATGATTGATAACTGAAAATGTTGGGCAGTCGTCACGGGTAATGCAAGCTGGGCAGGGCGGAGGGGAAGGACCGGGAATTGAGCAGACTCTATATAACACTCACATTCTGGAGCGGCTGACGGCTGAGTCCTCAGTTCTGGTTGCTCGAACTGAAGAGGCTTCTCGCGGCTGGCCCCGGGCGCGAGTTACCTAAGTGTGGAACTACCCAGCGCCGAGCCAGCCGGATGACGTCACACCACGGCCAGTGCCGTCGCGGCGGCAGACTGGCCGAGATTGACATGGTCTTAACTTGGCGAAGAGGCATCGGACGCCAAACTTCTGCTGCAGCTATTAATCACATTTCATGCGTTTCTGCCATGTGTATGAGCTATCAAGTCCTTCGAATACCTAATGTGTAGGTGAGCGTACCTGCATTTAGCAGTGTGTGCTATGCTATGTGGATGGGCACATCCGACAGTCGACACACTGCGCAATGGATTCCGATATTGCTTGGCTGATTCTGGCTTTGTGTCTTCGAACGAACCATTGAAAGGGAGGACATCATTTTTAAAGGTTGTTAGGTGCACTCAAACGTTTTAAGATAAGCAACTGCTGATTGAATTTCTGGCGAGGGTTGGTGGAACGCTCTGTTTACAAATGAGTATCTACCTACCTAGTACCTACCTGCAGTGGCAAATAACTGGGTCGCGGTCAGTTAGGCATGATTCACGAAGTCCCTTATCTTTTATTAGACTTATTAAGCCCAATGTGCAACATTTGCGTCTTTTCGCGTTGTATCGGGTAGCAAATGAGAAAATCTGCTTCTTCTCCACAGCCCTCAATTCAAGAAACCGTCCTTTTCCTTATCGCATCATTCCAGAACATAATTTTCAAACATGGGTATCTTCCCCACAAAAAAAAAAAAACTGAAGCAGTTTCCTTCGGCTCCAATGCGCCGCTCGCCCAGGGAGACGGAAGTGTTATATTCTCGGCGGTCCAGTCTGCATTCTGCAGCACACTCAAACTTGGCGGACCCCCAGCGCACGACTGAACGATTCGTATTGTTGTGAGTGACTGACAATTCACTGGTGGTTTCGGAATAATTAACAGGCGGCGCAGCCCAGTGCCTCTTACAATGAATTACAGTGGCGAATGCACTATTGCAGAGAAGAAATGGATTGGGCAGATACCCAACCTCGCTGTATTATCAACTAAACATTAGGTACGCTTTACATTTTAATCAGGCAATCATGTAAACAAACGACTTGCGAGTTGCGACCCTTCCGCCTTACATAACTCGGCAGAATGCCCCTGAGTCGGCTAAACTACACTGCATCTCTTCAAACCTTAAGTATTTTACAATTTACCACTCAGCTATGCAACAGGCTCACATTCACTGCTCAAGTCTCAACCCCTTTTTCCTTATCATCTTTTTGGCACCGTCAATCGCCATCTGCGCTGCCCACTGTCCAGCAAATAATCCGGCCGTCTCCAGTTCTCTGGCAGGGGCTTCCAAACTCAAGCGAACTCGCCGAAGTTTCGCCATTCAATGCGCAGGATCTGTACAATTGAGTTTGAGAGCCTCTGGGTTGGCTCGGCGCGCCTGCGCCGCGCCGTTGGTCCGGCCAAGTACGCGGGTGACGTCATGCTATAAGCGTCATCCCCGACCAAAGTCACCAATCAGAGCCCTAGAATCGACTTGTAGTTCCACACTTACATAGGTAACTCGCGCCCCGGGCTGACGGCTGCCTCTAGATGACGTCTCCGGCTCCGGCTGCAGACTGCCCTCCGGGGTGAATCGTGCACCTTTTATAGCTCGAGGGGCTGCCACGCCCTGAGCCGACCTCGGAGTCATTGCACCCAGGGTGTCTTTGTTACTCCCGTGCGTTTTCACTTGGCCGCTCACCATCTTCATATTGGGGGTTTTACCAGTCGGTTCATCGATGTGTAGGATATAAGAACATTGATAAAAGTGTGAATTAGCTCTGTCGTGCCGTTTCTTTATCCTCAACCACTTTCATTCTTTTATCGACTGCGTATCTGCCCGCAGCAGCCTGTCAGCCTTCTTTTCCTCTGGTTATCCAAATACCTCGGTAGCTAAACATCTTATCACATTCCATATAGGTAGCTCGTCGTTGTTTGCTTGAATTGGGTTGAATTCCATAACAGCTTTAGTTAGCCTCAACAGCGTTTCTTTGTTCCAGCCACTTACAATGTACTTAGGAGACGACACTTCGTATTTTAGCCTTCATCTTAGATTTTGGCGAATCGGTGTATTCCGTATTGCTGTTTCCGATACGACCATTGCGCTGAGCTGGTATAACTGTTTTCCCGACGTCCTCTTGCTTAGTCTCCAGGCTTGGGATTTGCAGACATTGTTCATGGCCGGCTGGTCCATTTTCTTGGTTGTATTTTGCTATTAACCTGACGGTGACTCTAGCCCTTGGGATTCAAGCCTGCATTTGTCACAAGCCCCATATTTGTCAGTCATTTCTCCCGCGGCTACTGTATGGGCTGATTACTTTAGGAGCCGTCCGATCTTCCGTCAAAATGGTTTTATCTCCCAGAATCATACATCCTTTGTTGTCAACCTTTCTCACGTCTGGATAGTGCTGCCCCCTTCGGTTGGCGGTAGCTCTGACAACTAGTACCTTGGGCGTGTCCCCATCGTCAGCTGGCTAACACCCCCCGCTTCGCTGCTGACCTTTGCCCGCCAGGCCTTGTGGTTGCGGGGTGTGGCCGTAGCGTGCTGCCTCTTCTATTCAGTGGCGAAATCTGGAACTACAGGTCATTGCTTGCTGCTGCTGTGCAGGTCACCTTCAAGGCGTTCTGCCGGGTCACTCACCCTGGGTTGTTGTACCCCGACAAAGGAGGCTGTGTGCTCCAGCCGGCATCCATCCTTTACACTGCTCCATGATCTGTTGACATATCTTGCTGATCCAGCGTTCCCAGCCGGTATCTGTTCTCGGCATGGGTCCACGAGCTGTTGACAATCTTACTGATCCAGCTGTTACTTGTTGGAGTTCGAATCGTTCATCCTGCGGTAGCTGTCTCCAAAAGCGCGCGTTTTAATGGGAGTTTTACGGCTGCCCATTCTGTGCGGACAGTGATAGATTAGGGAAACGGGGGGGGGGATTGGGTGTGGGAAAGCGAGGCTAGGCGTGTGGCCGGTCGGTGAGGGGAACTGCCGAGCCGAGTCGACCCGTGACGGTCTGGCCCGGTGTGTTGAGTCTGAGGTGGAATTTTTAAAAGATGTAGCCTGCTACGCGTTCCGCTGCCTCAACTGTCATATGACAGAAGACATTAGGCTCATAATGCCTGTAGGTGGTGAGTCAACTCACGTCATTCACTACAGTCGCCGCCGACGACGGCAGCGAAGGAAGTATTGGTGTGTGACGAAGGCGGAAGGTGCTTTATGATACATAGATCGTTAGCGTTACTGCGCACGAGTCCAAAGAAGATCGCATTTTGCAAGGTGGTTATGTGGATTTTGGAAGATAATGTGAAGAGCTACTACGTTAGTGTTGCTTATTATCTCGCAAACAACAATGTATTATGTAGAAATAAGAGCTCGTGGCGTGTCCCGAATCGAAATTGTTTTCATTACCTGTATTCAATGATCACTCCCTCCCCCTCCAAAAAATGGATTGATGTCTCTCTCTCTCTCTCTCTCTCTCTCTCTCTCTCTCTCTCTCTCTCTCTCTCTCTCTCTCTCTCTCTCTCTCTCTCTCTCTCTCTCTCTCTCTCTCTCTCTCTCTTTCTCTATCCCTCCCCCACTCATCTCTCCTGCTTTTCCTTTCCGTCTTTTTGCTGTTTTTTCTTCCTCAAGAATCCCCACGGCCACGCTCCATCAATAACATTAATTAGCACGTGCTCGGCAATCGGTGGTACGCGTAACATTCATATACCAATTTTCTTTTGGCGCGACTCGGTCTCGACTCCTTTCACGCCCTCTGTCGATCAGCGTCCTGCATAGGGTCAGTGCCGTGATTTCCCGCTGAAAGACGAGACGGACTGATGAAAGGAGGAGACAATGGGTTGGGAGGGAAGATAATGTAATAGTGGGGGAGTGGGGAGGAGGTGGGGAAAGATGTTCCCTCTGTGATGGTTTGTCAGCAAAGGGAAGGGTGCAGTTCGTGGGGCGCCGCCGCCTGTAGTCACTTCCACGTCAGTGCAATGTCTGGCCGACCGCTAGGTGTCACTGGGTGTTTCATATGAGTCATGGGTTCGCACGATGCCGCCGCCGAGTACGTACGGGCGTTTGCGGCGCCGATGTGTGTATGGCTGTGGGCCTCGCCGTTCTAATGAATCTTACAGTCTCATCCGATCCAGTAAGGTGCCATTCTTAACTGTTATCTGTGATTCTTATTATAACAATTCGCAGAGCTTGCATTATGCGTTATACCTATTCTACCTCTACGCATTTCTGTGCGTTCGAATCTGCTTGCTGCCGAGGCTGCCCCTCCCCTCCCCCGCTAGACGATCGTTTCCGGTCAGGTCTCTTACCCTAGGGAGATCGGTGTAGCCCCACCGCGAGGCCCCGGACCCACCTTCCCCAGAGAGACTAGAGAGACCGAGGGCGCTGCACCAATAAAGGAAGGCGAGTGCCCGTATATTGAAGAGGTGGAAAATACGGTACAGTTTCCGAGAAATGACCGGAAACAGGAGAGGTGGTCAATGAGTGAGACATAGATGATATGTGTAAGGATGGCAGCAATTTAGTTTCTGAATCCGTGACTGAGACTACTGAATCAGTTTGCGTTTATTTTTGTTTTGTTTTTTTTTTTTGGCGGGAAGACGTTTGTCATGAAAATGCGGGACAAACGTTTTCAAATTTTATTTGCAAGATTTTCGGTTTCAAAAAGAACTTGTGGCAGTGTCTTGACCGACATTTTTGACGACAGAAACGCCCAAGCGGTTAATCTGAGAGAGGGGAGAGAGAGCGAGAGAGAGAGAGAGAGAGAGAGAGAGAGAGAGAGAGAGAGAGAGTGCGAGAGAGAGTGAGAGAGACAGGAGAGAGAGAGAGAGAGAGAGAGAGAGAGAGAGAGAGAGAGAGAGAGAGAGAGAGAGAGAGAGAGAGAGAGAGAGAGAGAGAGAGAGAGAGAGAGAGAGAGAGAGAGAGAGAGAGAGAGAGAGAGAGAGAGAGAGAGAGAACCCTGATTGGTCTGTCCGTGGAATGAGTTAAAGCTGCA